TTTTACTAGCAGTTCTTATTTATTTTCCTGAATCAGAAAAAACATAGTTTGAGGACCGAACTCGGTGAAAAATATTGCAACCACATTTCATTTTCATGATTCATTTTCATGAGCGAACCACCACTATACAAGCATGGCCGCCATTTTGGAAGCATGCAAAATTACTACAGAACTGGCGCAGATAATACATTATTGACGCTACGCTTACGCGGTCGTTCTTCTGATTGAGTTGTCCTTAGGGAGAGGTAGCCTTAGGTATTGCCTATAAAAATATCACGTGACAACTGGAGGGAGTGACAATTGGACGTGACAATTGACAATGGGAGAAAATATCACGTGACAATCACGTGATAAACGTCATACGTTGGAGGGAGATTGTGATTCAAGCTGGAGGAATTCCTTTGTTGAGCCGCTAGAATCCGAAGGAAACAGCGGAAATTGCCTACGACTATTTAATGAATTTAACGGTGATGAATAAGTGCGAAAAACGTTTTGGCTTTTTAAAACTTGATGAAATGACCAGGGTAAAAGTTTTATTACTGGCGGTCAATTCAAAACGGCGCAAACATTTAAACAGTGAAGATAGTGAAGCACGATTCAAAGTGTAGTACACCTTTCGTACTTTGAGCGGCGATAGCGGGATAACGGTGTGGAGCTTCGAGGATCGGTCTTCAGTTTCCGGACCAGAAAGGTGGGGCCTATGCAATGTCAAATTTCATCAAAATGGTGATACTGTCCCTTTAACCAATCTGCCCTGTGATTGGTTCATGCCACTGGCGGATCCAGACTTGCGTTTTGGGGGGGGGCCAACTCGTGCAAGGAGCCAAACCTAGGGTACCCCCAAATCCTGTTTTCTCATCGGATTTAGGCCACTTATTTTTCGTCACAGCCCTGAAACGATAATTTTTTTAAACTAAAAAAAAATAGAGAGAGAAATGGTAGCCCACTCAACCTGTGCCTTAATATTACTTTGAAAACACTTCAAATTGCTTTTGTCGACCACCGCTCCGGGTCGGTGCTTGGCGCAGCCTTCGCGGGCTGGGAGGTGTCGGTTGAACCTCTCTGCCGTTCGGCCCCTGATCAAGCTAGAGCTCGCGGAAAAAACGAGTGTGTTGCCTGTCAGTGACGAGAGGAAGCCGATGATACCCGATTTTAAGGTCCTTGGTCATTGGTTGACCTTCCAGGGCGGTGTTTCACGGTCGCGCTGCCAGCCGCTGCCAGCGCATTCCGCGAGCTAAGGTCAACCTTCGGTAGTGTTGTAGGTATAGGCTAGTTGATGTCTCCATGGAAACCAAAAGTGCCAACAGCGCTGGCAGCGTGCCGTGAAACACCGCCCAGGTCAGGTCACAGACCCAAAAGACGGGAAAATCAGGGCCTGTCAGAACCTCCTAAAGTAAGGCTGTAATAGATTTTTTTGTGCTGATCACGAATTTCATGTTAGTTTGGATCATAGATGATGTCTTCATGCCTTTAGGCCATGTCGGGGCAGGCCAGGTCAGGTCAACCAGGTCAACCAGTACTTATGGGCGTCCGTGTAGCAGGTGTCCGACTACCACTGGCAGCTACGTAACATGATACGAAGGCATCAAAACTACTTCGTAAATGTTTAAATGGTTGCTAAATGCTAAATTCAAAATCAGCTAAACGAAACTATCCTAGAAACATGTTAAACTCGGAAAAGTGCACCGAGGTCATCAAAGGTCAATGACCTGACTTGACCCTAAGGTGACATTGACACCTACCACAATGGTTGGGACCAACATCATTTCACATGTTTGAGCGTTTTAAACCACGAAAAGACTGTAAACGAGCGGATAATGTGAGCCGACATACGCGGAATCGCGATTCCGGCCAAACATGGCCTCAAACATGGCCAAACATATGGTGCGTTCGGAGAGGCACATTCCACGTGGAATCCGTGGAATACTCCATGCGCGCGGAACATTCCCGGAGATTGGCCGTTCAGAGAGATACGCCTCCTAACGCGGCACGGGGAATATTCCAGGGGACGGTGAATATTCCATGCTCTCCGAACGCACGGATAGTCTCGAGAAATAGGCCACAGGTCAAAGGTCACTTGGGTCAGGGTCATGAAATTTTCAGACTTTGTCAACATGAGGGTGCTAAAGTTTCGTCGCGATCGGATTCATGATAACTTTCACGATAACTTCACGCGTCGATCGAGAGGTAAAGTATGCAATAAGAACTTCTTGGGTGAAGACGAGACCAACACTCAAGCTCACATATTTTTAATGATACGGTAGTTTCTACCTACTACGCTACTTTCTCACATTCATATTTCTTAAGTGTTTTTGGGGGCAAAATACATGTTGCGCCCTTTCAGGCTTGGGGGCATGACCCCGTGGCCCCCCTGGATCCGCTAGGCCGAAACTAACTAGGCCGTTTTCAAACGGTCTGATATTTCAGGTCATGGTTTGCAAACGGCCGGTGTTTTCAGGCTGTTTCATATGCCCTGACTGGGCCAGGCCGTTTGCAAACGGACAATTTTCATACGGCCTGTAACATATATTCATATTTCACCATCTGTCGCAGCATCAAATGCTGATGTGGTGCACTCAAAAGCCGGAATTGGTCCTTGGATGCCGTAAGGACCCTTTTAAGAAATAAGTGACCCGACTGACCCCTTAGAGATTGGCCTGAGCTCTGACCGAAATAAGTCTTTTACCGTTTCACGGGAAGGGACAAAAAGGTCCCTGATATGCTTCTTGTACAATTACCTAACAAAACAAGCTTTTCAACGCCAACTCAGTGAGTGTTCCTAAAAAAAATTATTGCGCATATTCCGTGAATGAAAAATTGCCGGGTCATGTCAGGTCAGGCTGCCAGAGCAAGTTTGTTAACTTGACAGTTCAATCGATATGTATGCAATAAGACCTTCTCGGGTGACGACAAGACATGACGACACTTTAAGAAAAAAGCTAGTAAACCCGGTGGTTTCTCCATAGGCGCGGGAACCGGGGCAGTGGGGACAGCTTGCCCACCCCCCAACTATGGGGCCGTGGGGGCGGTGCCCCCACAACTTTCAGACGGAATACCCCATTTTTTGCAAATGTTTTCTTTTTTTGTTGAAAAAAGCCAAGGGATGAAAAATAAGTGGCCTAAAACCACCGGTGAGAAAACTATATTTGGGGAGACCCTAGGTTGATCTCTATTATGGTGTGCCCCCCCCCCCCCCCCAGTCTGAAAGTAGTTCCCGCACCCCTGAGTTTCTCTACGCTATTGAATCACGCCGGTGATTCTAACTTTTAGGTATCTACTACGCAACCTTCTCACATTAATTTTTCTTCAAGCGTTTTGGGAGGGGGGCCAAAAGATATGTTGGCCCCCCTTTCAGGCTTTTGGGGGGCCATGGCCCCGGTGGCCCCCTCTCTGAATCCACCAGTGGGGGGCGGTGCCACCACAACTTTCAGACGGAATACCGCCCTTTTTGCAAATGTTTTCTTTTTTTGTTGAAAAAGCCAAGAGATGAAAAATAAGTGGCCTAAAACCGGTGAGAAACTAGATTTGGGGGGACCCTAGGTTGATCTCTATTATGGTGTGCCCCCCCCCCCCCCCCAGTCTGAAAGTAGTTCCCGCACCCCTGACTTTCTCTACGCTATTGAATCACGCTGCTGATTCTAGTAGGTATCTACTACGCAACCATCTCACATTAATTTTTCTTCAAGCGTTTTGGGGGGGGCCAAAAGATATGTTGGCCCCCCCTTTCAGGCTTTTGGGGGGGGCCATGGCCCCGGTGGCCCCCCCCCCCCTGGATCCGCCAGTGGTTCATGCTGCTAATTAATCGTAACATAGTTTGCCATTCCCGGTCAGAATGAGCGACGCCCAGAAGAGAACAGTGATTTGGTTCACGTATTGCAGAAAAATGCACCAAACGTTATTCACGAAAAGCTAGTGCCAACACATGTTGAGGTTTGTCTTTCTTACACTAGCGTCAAAAAGTGGGCATCTCTGTTCAATTTTGGTCCACAGGTCATTAATGGTCAACCCCGCAGTGGCCAGTCATCAACAGCATTGACTCAAGAAAATGTGAAAAATAAGCACTTCTTTGTGAAAATGGCACATGTTCTGGTCTGGAACAACGCTGCAGAAGCGGCGGTGTCTATCAGGTTCCTCAAAGCCATTCTTGGACAGCGCATTGATATGTTTAAGATCTCTGCAAGATGCATCCCCCGTTTGCTGACTCCGGAGGAAAGGCAATTTCGAAAGGAGGCGTAACGCGAAAATTTTTGCCCTATATGGAAGATCCAAAAGAGTTCATTGAACTACTTGTTACCGTGGAGGGATAGTGGGTGTCACACGTTGACCCTAAGGGCGTGACCGAGTTGCACAAGTGAAAGCACACTGAGTAAAGGCCACCAAATGTGTGCGACGTGTTTAAGTCAGACGGCAAGGTGACAGTGGTTGCATTTTGGGATGCTGGCGGGGCTCTGCTCGTCAACTTTCTAAAACAGGGGTGCACAATTAATGATGCATATTACACCTCCCTTCGGTAACAGTAGCGAGCAGCAGGTATCAAGGAGAGACTAGAGAAGCTGACTAAAAGTGTGCGCCTGATCCAGGACCACGCAACAGCACACATGAGCAGGGTGACGATCAGCGAAGCAGTGAGCTGTGGCTTCGAGTTGTTGTCTCAGCCACTTTTTTCTTCGTACCTTGCACCCTCAGGTTGCCACCTCTTCCCCAACATAAGGAAATTGCTTAGCAGTGGCAACTTCGCTGACAGCAAGGAGACAAAAGCAGCCGTCTTGGACGTGCCAGATGCGTCCAAAACCCACTTGGCTATGGAGACCCAGGGGCCTCTCGCGAAGCGCTGTGCGAAATGTTTTTGTCTTAGCGCTGGTTATTTGACTAAATGAACATTTTTGGTCTAATAAGTCGACGTCGTATCTCTGCTCCTTCATGGTCGGGCCGAGAACTTTTTGAACGCCCCTCGTAATGGTCAAAGTCTACACTACTTTGTTCGATATCACAAAGGCAACTTAATACCATTGATGTATTTATTTGATGTTGTTCCTTTGTACCACAGACCGCAGGCCAAAATGGACGCAGTGCCCTAGTGGCATCGCTGGTGATGAATTTTCCGTGATTTCTGCATTGACATACACTTGCGTATACACACTCATGCACGCGATATATACGCTCACAGGGAGTACATGATCGACAACGATACGCGGGCGAGGACTTATTACGACACTTCCTCGTGGGTACAGTAACGCCCGAACTCTACCGACAGCGCCTCTATTCTTACGAAGCTCTAAGCCTACACTCCCGGTCCACAGTGTCGCCCGCTGCTCGCCACGGCATTTACACGTTCCCTAGCTTAGCCTCTGAGCGGTGCGCAGCTTATTTACAATCCGGTCGCGATTTAAATCGCCATTCTATTTCTTGATTTGGGGTACACTCTCTCGCCAAACGTTGACAGGAAGCTCTGAAGACTGCGTTCGTTGGGCTACATTCAACGATCGACAGCTACCCCTCTCGGCTCTATTTCACTGTCCTGAGACGCTCACTTCACGACGAGGCCACGTGTTTGGCGATGATATGTAGGACGACTTGTGAGCGGTTGACGGCACCGGCGGCAGGTGTCTGACGGCCCTGCGTCGTGCGGCGCGTCGAGTCGGGCCCGACGCCGCGCTCCTGGCCGTCATGAGCTGACACGAGAGGCTGGCTGAGTGCCACCGTGTGATGCGCCTGGCACTAAGCCCGGGGTGTCATCAGTTCGCACACTTCGGTCGGCCTCCGCTTGTCGGGGCTAGCCGCCGGCCTGAGGTGCGCTGGTAGCCGGGAACGCTATCTCGCCATCCATTGAGAAGTCCCATGCAAACACGGCGATTCAAAACGTATAACACTGATTACAGAGTTACTCTTACATACCCGCGGCAACGCTCCGTCGTCGCTCATGCCACTCGCTCGGACGTGTTACATGCGCGCACAGGCACAGACATTTAACAAAAAATATCCCGCCGCGCTGGGCTTGCGGCTGCTCCCGGTCGGGCTCAGTTCGGGCGGCGGCCACTGGGCGGCGCTAGTGTAGCCGCAGCAGGGCGGCCACCAGGGGCAGAAAGAGCGAGATCAGGGCCGGCGTCGAGGTGACGGCCGAGTTACAGTAGTCACCGCGGCATTTGCACAGCACCTGACCCTTCTTGGGCATCTTGGAGCAGCCGGTGGAAGAGCCGGGGAAACAGGTTCGGAGCTCGTTTCCGAACTCATCTGCGAACAAACGCGAGGGAAGCGTTAGGCACGGCGTGGAATCGCGAGCCAACTCGCGGGGTCACGGTCACGGGGTGAGACGGGTGGAAGTGGACGGCGGAATGCAGATTGTGGAAAACAAGCCACTGAATCACACCTGTGGCATGCGTACAAATCGCCTACTCACACTGCAGAAAGAACGGTCGATACTGCCAACGTGCCAGCGCGTATTAACGATCAGTCTGTGTGAAAAGTGACGACTATGTATGTGCCTAAATACGCGGTCTGCTGAACATTCAGACACCACTGTTGGCTGTCACTGCATGGGAAAACTGCCACGGAAATGTTACGAAATGGACATTGGCGCACCCTACACAGTTTTAGCTGGCCGTTGTGGACTGGTGCTGCCATTGTCTACTATTTGTCGGCTCCCTGCTTTCTTACGATTTTTCCTAAATTACTCCTTCAATTTTCTTTACACTTTCCCCTACATTTCTCTGCATGCCTTCCCGTATTTTCGCTTTTTCTTGTTTTATTTCTGTCTTTCTGTATTTCTTTTTTTCTTTTTCTTCTTTTTTTATGTTTCCGTACCACCCTCGAGAAAAGCACGGCACCCTTTCAGCCTCACTGCTTCTATCTGCTAGCTACCGTATCTTGCCAGTCACAGCGGTACCTACTTTGTACTATCCGTAGTCTGCACAGCAGGCGGGGTGCCCCACTCGGCACTCTCCCCCTACCTCCTCTCCCATGCCCTCTTCCACCTCCTCACTTAGCCAAGGTGCATCGAGTCGATTGAGGTGGTGCTATCTGCGCAGCTGGGAATCGCTGCAATGCCGTACCAAAGCGGAGCATTTGAAGTCGTGTCTTATCCTGCAGTCTTATCCTCTACCATGTGCTAAATTTGGCAACGGCTTGCGGAAATTTGCGCGGTGTGTGTAGGTAACTGGCATGTAGCCTGTCCTTACAGATTGTGTCTAGCTCGGAAGTCTGTACGGAACATGAATGAAACAGACGGCCGTAGCTGTATGGCAAAGCCTTATGGTGCGCGACTGACGTGAAATGGCCTGCCAAGCTGATCTAACCACTGGCCTGGAAAGTGGGCGCGTCTACCGTATAGCCCGACGAATGGCATTGAATCATGCCGTGACTGCGGCAGGTGGTCGCGGAACCAGCTTCGGTGACTCACTCGCCGTGGTGCTACATTGCTGCCGAGCGCCCGAGCCGCCGAGAAGGCAGGTGAAAACCGGCTGACAACGGGATAATGAGATTTCCTCCGAGAGCGGCACCGAGATCAAACAGCCATGCCTGTTTTCAAAGGCGCCCCGAAATTTTCGTTGTTTGCTGTTCGCTCGCACAAAGCTGCTTGCTTGGAAAATGCAGAGCCGCCCATAAGGCTAACGTTAAGTGTGTTTGCGCTGTGACGAACGGAAGCAGCTTTTGAGAGAAGGAACCCTGAAGAGCTCTTTTGCTTACGAGACGTCGTTTGTTGTGCGGCCGCTAAAGGCTAAAAAGCTACTACCTATCTAGTCGGAAATCCGTTTCGCTTTCGCTGATGGTTGTGACAGGTTGGCGAGATTTATGAGTCTTCATTTTTCATAAAACAAGGCTAATAATAGTGGCGGCAAACAGCTTGGTTGCCGCGCGAGCAATATCACCGAGTCACCATCCATCTCTGGCGGGTCGAGGACGCAGGGTGCGCGGCACGCCTCAGCTGCGGCGGGCGCACATTTCACCTCCAGCGCATACCTACCTATCCGTCCGTTGGCTACACGCCAAACGCTCCAGGGCGCGCTGCGCGTTCGACTCAGTGCCATAGCGGCGTGATGGCGTCACTCTGCGGTCGCTGACGTCACGACAGGCGCACGATGACGTCATATCCCGCCGTCCAGCGCGGTGTGAGGTTCCGTGCGCGTGACGCCGCCCCCTCACCGCTGACAGTTCGGCATACCGGTGACTACTGACTGCCGGCTGCCAAGTGACAGGCGGGCTGCCGTCTTACTGCCACCGACCGTCAATTGGCTGTCATACCAAGATGTCGGATGGGAAACAGTGCTAGGGCCCTTTCACATGGCCCAGAGCCAGGCCTCGAGCCATTGCACTATCTCCAGCTTGGATTTCTCCACTGCTGTCCGAGAAGGTTGTTTGCCAGCGTGGAAATAGCATCGACCCTGCCGCTGAACATGCCCCGGCTTTTATGCTCTATCGATTGGAAGGAGACTGCTGGCCATCCTTACGGGTCCAGGACCTGCTTAGTTTTTAGGCGAGCTCGCACCATAGACTGCGTTTGTGTACGATTCGACTTCGTACGTTTATTTTCATGTTACAGGCTAGGCTTCTGCATGTTTCAGAGTTGGTTTATTTACAATTTCCTTTAGAATAAATCTATATACTGTTAAGCGTCATTTCGTTCAAGGAAAAAAGTTCCGCATATGCGTATGGATTTACGTAGGAAGTAACTATTAGAAGCTCTATAAGGGATAGATGGGACGTGTTGATTGTCGAGTGTAAACGGCGCCCCGCTCGAACCGTAATCAAACTGAGTCGGCCACGGTCGATACCGGTGGTTTATGTTCCACAGCCATCCGCAGTCTGTCCACAGGCTGGGTGGCACACGCCCAAACTCTCCATGGTCGTTCAGAGTCGGGGGTGACACGCGTCCCGGTGTTCCCTAGACGACAAAGCGTCGGTCGTCAGAGATACTCTTGACCACAGCTGGGCTTGGTGGAGTTGGACACTCTGCCCGCCCGGGCCACTGCATCGGCTGGCAGAGCTTGACTCCTGGCCACGGTCGATCTTGGCAGAGTTGGTCGCTCAGCCGTCATACACCGTCAGCCCGAGATCCGAGCCGGGGCCGGACGTGTTATTTCGCGGTCGGAATCGAGCTACACCCCTGCATGACAGGCCTGTCAGTCGGGGATGTCATCAGTCAGATATCAGCCTGTCAGCTCTGCACACTCCAGCTGTTGTCGGGTGACACCTCGAGCGTAAGCAGTCGCGAAGTGATTGCCATGTCACGCCCTGTAACGTGTCCATAAATAACGCTGCTTATGTGTCACGCGGAGACGGGACAGCAGCGCGCGTGACGGTCGCCCCAGTTGATGGTGATTGCACTTACCCCGGATTTTGACGCAGCTGTTGAGGCCGCTCCTGCAGTGCATCTCATAATCGAGCCCGGGGTCCTTGGGGTTCAGCTGCGAGCAGCGGGGGAACCTCCGGATCAGGTCCTCCAGGTCCGCCGGGAAGGTGACGCCGCCGATCTTGTTGTTAGGCCGACACGCGATGCAGCGCAGGCCGCTGGTTCCTGTGGTAGAGACTAGAGATGTCAATCGGATACCAACATTTTGGTATACCGATACCAACATTTTGGTATACCGATACCAAACCGATACCAACTTGGTATTTGGTATTTCAATCCTCCTTTATTTGGTATTTTGTTGGTATTATGAACCCTCACTAATATATAAGAGGCTGATAAATTGGTATAAATTTGGTATTAGCCTCATGTTCCTAGGTTGGTTCGGTTTCGGTATTTCCTCACGGTTTTGGTTGGTATTTGGTTAGGTATCGGTATTCCGATTTTCTGTAATTGACATCACTAGTAGAGACGCTCGGTTAGATACAGACCGTGGGCAGTGAGGACGGGAGACCCTCCCGCTCTACAGAGTTCGGCGGTGAGGAGGGAGTAGCGGAGCTGGATCAGCAGTTAGCACGGCTGTGCTGAGGTCAGTGGTTCTGGTACAGGGATCCCCTTCGTGTAGAGCAGGTCGATGGCCTGCCGCCCCAGCCAGTGTTAACGGCGATAGACTCAACTGGCACCTGACCACTGCCAACGAGCGGGGTGTACAGCAGAGATACATCGATGGTGTCCGCCGTGGCCCGTGTACCGGCGGCGTTTACAAATACCCTCGATTGGCTACACTACCGATGGCCCCGGATAAGCGGGGTGAGGCAAATGGTCGGTTTGGGGCGACACGGCAGTCGTGACGCTCGCCGCAGGTCGCGGGAAACGGTCGGTGGCCTCTTGACCTATGACCTGATGACCTGTGGTCCTAGAACCTGGACAGTGGACATCATGGTCGGTGACCCAGGACCTGTTGCCCCTTGACCTGTTGACCCTTAAACGGTGGCCTGTGGCCCCATGACCTGTCTTTCGGTGGTCTGTCACCCCGTGACCAAAGACCAAGGCGCCCGTCGCTCCCGACGGCCGTTTGTCAGCACCGACCACAGCGGTGGCGTCACCTATGTCCACCGACGGTGGACACTAGGGGTACAGTCCGGCAGCGGTCAGCTGGTGGATCGAACTGGGGTGAAATATATGCACAGTGGGCTAGAATAGAGTTGAGAAAAGAGAAGGAAGGAAGGAAGGCATGAAATGCGTCGAAAAACCGGGGAGTAAGTTTGGCGGTCTGAGGCCTGAAATGCAGACTCGAACTGGGATCTGACTCGTCCTCCTTTGCAAAGACCTCCAGGCACGTGGGCAGTTTTTTACGCAATCGCAGTGTTTATTTTGGGTGAAAACAGGCTTCGACAAAGATGGAAATAACAGCATTGTTTAACTTCATTAGCGTGGTTTTGTTTTGCACAAGATGTCCGTAACTGAAAATGTATGCATCCCTGAAACGCACTCGTATAGCTCAAATTACTAACATCGACATAGTATACCTAGGATTTTCTAGCAACGCATTACATAAACCTCGTTAAGAGCTATATGCACTCCAAACAATTACCTCATCTGTTTAGCTTGACTGCACCATGAGCCAGGGAAGGCTGGCACCAGAGCGGTGCTTGCTCCATTTGACCTCATTGGGCAGCATGGATGTTTTCCGCTTCCCCCCATCCCGTTGATGGGCTGACCAGTCGGCCGGCTGGTAACACCGTGTTTCCACTCAGCTGTCGGTGGCGACCTCTGTCTCCCCCGTAGACCCCTGTGACTGCCCTGTAGACCCCTCCGTCCGCCCTCTAGACCCCTGTGTTTGCCTTGTAGACCCCTCCGTCCGCCCCCAAGACCTGTTCGTCCCCACCCCACTCTCCTCTGCCTGCCCCACAGACTTTTCTGTCAACCACGGAGACCTGTCTTATCTGTCTTCAGGCCGCCCCACACTGGAACTCGCATGCGGGTTGCGAGTTTTTGGGTTTTCGGGTTTCTTCAAAATCAATACAAGCTAGGCTGAGTGACCCACACTACCATCTAACAAGCGAGTCTGCATGTTTTTAGCTTGCGAGCGACCTTGCATTGCATTCCAAAAGTTGGTTTTGAGTCAACTTTTGATTTTCCTCGCTGCGAGGTCTGCGAGTTCTGCGAGGTTTGCGGGTTTTTCGTTGGAGTCGAATTTTGGTTCGATGCGCTGGTATTGTGACTAGGGGAGAGTGGGGCAAAGCGGCCACCCTAACGCTTCTCACGATGCCAACGCTTGATTTTTAAACTTGGAAAGATTCTTTCTATACCAATGTGATCCCTATTAAGTTGCCTTTTATTTCGACTGCGTTTTATTTCCAAAGGCGTTCACATATGGAAGATATTGACAAAACTTTAAGCCTATGCATATTGGCCACTTTGCCCCATACCCTGGGGCAAAGCGGCCACCGCCGTCTTCTCAAGTCCCGATATGAGAAACAACATAGTTGCCTCATGTACGACTAGGGTTTTGATGGTGACAAGGTTTAAGCGAGGATTGTTGTTTACTTTATCATCTTCCACCTGTAGGTATTCAAAGAAAGGATTTTCATGAAAAAAAACATTTAATTGCATTATTTGGTAACTCATGCAACTGAAAAGTGGCCAAGATGAATGCACGACGACACATTTGAATATAAATAATGTTTTTTATCCAGATGGAAACAACTTATGGCCAATTGGGGGGTGGCCACTTTGCCCCGGCCACTTTGCCCCGCGCATACCGTCCGAGACAAAAATATTCCAGCTTAGCTTTTAGTGGGGTAAAAACATTAAAATTGGTAGAATGCATGTACGATAACCATGCAATGCATGGACAAGAACGCTTATAAAAAAATCCAAACGGTTATGGAATAACATAACATTTGAAAATTGTAAACATAGTTGGTAACCTGGCAAGAAATGTTTTTCCGTGTTTCACAGAACAATGGTGATGGGCCTGAAACCCCGGTCTGGCTCATTCGAACGACTGTGAAGAGAAGTATAATTGGAAACCATAAATTGGAACTGACGCCAGCTACGAAGGGCTAAAACGATGGGTGGCCGCTTTGCCCCGGGTGGCCGCTTTGCCCCACTCTCCCCTATATGTAAGTTTCTGAAGGTGTACCGGCTTCACTGCATTCATGAAGTTACCATAAGGAAACGGTCCAATCACTCTATGAATTAGTATTATGCCCGCAAACTCAAAACCCGCAAACCCGCAACCCGCATGCGAGTTCCAGTGTGGGGCGGCCTTTCGTCTTCTGTACAGACCCATACCCGCCCTTGAGGCCCTACTTTCTTCGACCGCCTCTGAGACACCTTGGTGCGCGCTGGAGACTATAAGTCCATCACGGATACCCCTCGGCCTCCAGGGCAGGTCCCCAGTCCCCACAGGAAGGACAATGATGTTTGATTCAGAGAAGCCACCTCGCAGCCGATCAAGGTCGCCTGTTCCGGGCTGGGCCGAGCGGCACGTGACCTCCATCGTGGCGTGTTTGCCCGTTCAGCATGGCCCCGTGCCAGGTGTGGGACTGGACGGGTGGGCTTGCCCGTCACTGTGAGGATGCCGCTGGCCTGTAAGAAAGATATTTATGTATGGCACACACTGGGAATATGTGCGAGTACGGAGTATTACTGGGGTCCTGTATTGTCCCGAGGCGTATCACTCGTTGGGGTGGGGGTGGGGGTTCGGCATATCCGGGGGGGGGGCCGCCCGCTGGTGTGGTGACGGTAACTGGACGGTATTGGGTCGGTCACCGGGCACGGCGTGGCGGGAGTCCCCCAGCCATTAACTCTGCGGAAAGGTGAGACTTTGATAAATGGAGACCCAGATATTACCTGTATTACTACTTCTTTTCTGTCCGCTTTATTAGGCGGTGAGCATTTTTAACCAAATATAACCTACATGACGTTTGTTATCGTATTCTTCGCTGGAAAGCTGTGTTTTATCTGAGCTAAACGCTAATAAACATCAAGCGCGTTTCACGTATGACCTGGGGCCTGACGACTTGGTCAGGCAGCGTTTGACATAGGCAAAATGCATCCGAATCATCCTGGCACATGGCACCGATGGTAAGCTTCACAGGATAGGTCCACCATAAATCATAGCTATTTTCCATGTATTAGTGTTGATCTCGCTTCGTTTCATGTTAGTCGGTGCATGAGTTATGCCATTATGAATTAGGTATGTAGAGTTCGTGCGGGATGTGAAGCAATCTTCATGAAAATCTTCACGCCTATTACGACCCTTTATTGTTGTCATTTGTCTTTAGTGATACTGAATCTTCACTGTCTTGATGCTCCCGACTGGCCTGTTTTCCGATCATCTATGTATGCTCTGTTGACTGCGTTTAACGAACGATCATGGCTGTGGCAGTTGTGGCAGTTGCCGTCTTTTCTGCCGCGAATACTATTTACCTCGTGGCCTCGGCTCTTCTCAAGTCGGATTTTGTCTGCGGCGGATACTTTCCAGTCGGGTCAACCACCTACCGTTCATCTACTAGCCTGTTCTAACTTCTACCGTATCCTCTGCCGTAGGCAGATACCAGTCGAGTTGTCCATCTGCCCACTGCCCAGGATGGACACCACTCGGGCCCTTCTGCCCGGCATCCATAACTAAACTAAACAGACCCTAATTGTGCCGTCCCGGGCCCCCTATAATGAATGGGCTGTAGTCAGACCCTCCCCCGTCTAACGGCAAACGTCGGTCCTGCCGTCCCCTCCCTGTCACCCCGCTGCTTGTTGTGCGTCAACAGGGCGGAGAGTCATCGACCGATGGGGCGAAGGGAGAGCGATGGTCCGGGCGGCTGTCGGGGGAAAAGCTCTCGCACACCCACTGATATCTGCTGTTCTCCGCTCTACCGTACCGTGTCCGAAGTACCGCGATGTCGGATTTCTAGTCTGTCCGAACGTCGGTCATGTAAGGCTTCCGTCGATTGCTTGGCTTAAATGCTTAAGTTGCTGCAACGACAGAAACTGGCCTGTCCGGCCGGGATTTAGGCACTGTAATCCATACCCCGTCCATGGAAGGCAAGGAGTGGACAGAATCTGTTCCGCCTCATTCAGTCGGCGATGACTCGATGCATGCACTGTAGCGGTGGATCTGATTCATGCCACGCCCCTCCCCCTGGCTCGACCCACATTGCGGCCGATTCACGCAGCGCCCCTGCCCCACCCACCATCGAGCTGGGCCCGTCCCGTCCCACAGACACCATTAGTCGGTCGGGACGCACGGGCCAGCGACAGTGACGTCTCCTCTTGGATGGCGGCCAAGGCCGTACGGCGGGGAGCGCCGCGGCTGTGCGCTGCCCCTCCCCAGCGCCGCTCACCGCCGTCAGCGGCGGGTGTCTGTCTGCGAGCGCCGCACCGGCGGGCTGCGGCCAGGGCCGCCGCGCGCCGAACGACGCGCAAACCCAGGTACCGGCGCCGCGCGCCCGCAGGAAGGCCGGCCGCCCGCTGTACCGAACGGAAGGTCACCGTGAGCGGCACCGACTACGGGAGCGTGCTGTCTGTGCGGGGTTCGAGGACGAAAGGAGATTGTCCAATTGTGCGGGACGGTTGTCAAGAATAGACGGTGGCGGCCTTCCAACGCGTGCAGCTCGGGGAACTGGCGGTTTCCGTTGAACTCCAAGGTCGTTGTTGGAGGGCGGTGTAATTCGGAATGGATGGAATAGGGTTAGATAAATGCTTTAGGCCATGAACAGCAATCTTCGTGCGGCTACGTGACTGGGATGCACTGGGTGTTATCTGACCGGCCTCGGCATACCTCAGCGGTGGAGATTCGTTATCACTTTCCACTGTACCGACCACCGGCTGGGGAGCTGTTCGCGTGTAGGCGTCGGCGCCTTACCTGTAACTGCGAGCAGCAGCAGCGCCGCCACAGCTAGAATGTGCTTCATCCTGGCTGTGACCTGCAGAACACGGCACGCTAGTCTGTCTCACACACCGCGCGGTCTGGTCCACCCCGCTCACCGCCGCACGCCGACCGTCACTGCCCGCTGCCCGCCGGCCAGCCGCGGAGGCTGCCGTCCAGGCGACGACGGCCGGTTCTGCCGCCAATAACGGAACGTCCGGCAATAACGGAACGCTCCGCGACCCGCCGTACCGACACGGGGTTTGATGGGGCTGGAATTTTTATATTGTATTATTGGGAAGCTAAGTGGACACATGTTTTTAATGGGTAGTCCATTTGGGGTGTGCACTAAGCAAAGTATTGACAAAATATTTGGATGAACTGTTCCGCAAAATTGCACGATATTGAAATGGTCATGTAGTCGAAAAATTAAAATTGTTATTTTTCGGTGGTGTATTCAGGGTTACTTTTACAGGAAAAGTCGAGAGGGGGAATAAAGTTCGGGGTAAGGGCGGATCCAGGGGCATCTGAAAGGGGGGCCCAATGCCATTAGGTTTTTGTTAGGATGGCGCCTGCAGAACCTTACCTACCCCCAAATCCTACTCTCTCCCCGGATTCTGGCCACTTTATATTGTTAGGTTGCCAAAAAAAAAATAGCTAAAAAATATACGTAGGTACCTACCTTGGCGGTAAGGGGCGAGGGAGGTCCGAACTTGACTGCGCCCTTGCAAATGTCAATCAGTAGTATCAACCTATTACCCTGGCCAAACATCAAGTAGCGCCTTTCTAAATAGAGAGAGGTTAACACGTGACTACTTTTGCTAGGCCAAGACCGATTGAAGGACCCTGGTTCGAAGGAAGACCCTTGGTTCGGAGAGGTCATGACCCCCGTCCCCCGCCGGTTTCTACGCCGACGCCTGAAGCGATATGTCAGTGATTGCGAAGAGACGGAAGAGACAAGACAAGAGACGGTCCCACCGACCATTCGATCGGTATCGGGTCAAATCTGGAGTTCCCGCTGCACTGAACGTAAAATGGTTGGATGGAACCTCAAATTGAAAATTATCTAAGCTCCAGCAAGGTTGATTGATGACTAGAGTCTGATCAACGATGATTATAGAATCTGAGTAGCGAATTGATTGAAAATGGGCTCAAAAATAAATTTGAAAGGGGGAAATTCCCCCTTCCCTCCCTAGCCGTTCACGCACAATTTGAGAGGGGGAGCAGAATTTTCGAAGGGGGCAAATTCCCCTTTCCCCCTTCAAAAGTTACCCTGGATGTACCCGTGCACCGACAGCAGGCGGATATCCGCCCCCCCCCCCCTGAGGGTTTTCGTAAATAGCGGGAAAAATCGCGGCGCTAGCGCCGGAAATTGGGCATGCCTATTCTCCCATCAATTTTACACATTGTGTGTGAGTTTAAGCCTTCTACCTTTTAAGGTCAAGTCACCAGCTCACTTCGAATGACCCGACCTCAAATCACTTTTTTGCAACTTTGTCCCCGTGTCAGTCAGAGCTACAGTACCTACGTGTCGGAGTCCTTTGAAAGTTGCAGGATGTAATTTGGTCATTAGTAGCTACAGTTGGTGTATTTCGGAATTTTGATATCGATGACCTAAGGTCAGGTCAATTTCTTAACCTCCCGATTATAAGTCAATGGGGGGGGGGAGGGAATCAACTGCCTGATTTTTTTCACTAAAACGCGTCGGAATGGCCTAATATTCCAAAGTTATTCGAGATAAACTCTAAATATCTAGCGCCGCTATTTTGCCTGTTTGACCCCTGTGACGTCATCTTTGACCTGGCCTGAAAATGACCTCAGTAAAAATTGTAGACCTTGTCCGTGCGTACCCCATGCCGTTTACGGCTTGTCGCTGTCTTGCTTCGTTCTCGAGATCTCAGGGGGCGGTTATCCCCCCTCCCCGTCGGAACTAAGTTGGCGCGGACCCCCGTCGGTGCGCGGGTTAATGCTTATCAGGTCTAACTGAGGAAGTGAAAACCCGAAAACCCGATCAGATTCGATAGATTTGCTGCAAGCTCCTCTTCGTGAGGTAGTTAAATATTGATCCGCTTTCATTTTGTCATTATAATGGCCAGTTGGTATCGCACCTAAATATTTCATGTAAAAAAAAACAGTTGCTACCATTTGCCACTGATCTTTTTCACCGTGGACAGGGCGAAGCTTGTTTAGAGTTTGTCTTGGGTGACTGTTGCAATGTTATGCCTGCCTATGAAAATCATCTTGGGTGCGTGTCTTACCTATAATTACCTAGGTAAATATGTAAATAAAATATGTAAATATATGGTAAATATGTAATGAGATGATGTTCGAAAATACTATAGTTCGTTTTTTTCAAAAGGAGGCTGGCTCCAAGTATGTTTTTCGAACAAGCACGTGTTTTAGCGAGCAAAACGGGCAAAATCTGAACCTGAGAAACTCGAACGTCGCCTTATTTTAACCCGCGCCCTGCTGGGGGTGGGGGTGGGGGTGTTTGAACACCCCCCTTGTGGTTTTTCGCGAATATCTCAAACGTTTTTGGTACACCTTATTGCACATCAATTCTACACATGTTGTGAAAATTTCAGACCAAGGTCATTCAAGGTCAGGTCACCAGGTCACTTGAAGTGACCTCACCTCATAAAAAGTTTCAATGTCTGTCATAGCTACACCGAGTGACCGATCGCTTTGAAACTTTCAGCGATTGCTAAGAGCAATAGCATGTACAAAATGTATATCTCAGAATTTTGATATCGATTACCTAAGGTCAGGTCAATTTTGCGACCTCCCCATTATAAGTCAATGGGAGAAAATTGAAATGCGCCTCTTTTGGACAAAAGACATTATAAACACTCCCAAACACCGAATTACAAGTGGTTTAGACACACTGAACATGAAAATGGTGTCCGTGACCCTTGTTTATGCCCTGAGGTCATCTCAGGTCACGAAGGGTGTCTAACAGTTTTTCGCAAATAACTTTTGATAGAGGCATGCTAGAGCGATAAAAACGCCTTAGATGTGTTCAGCTCGACGATACGGATCGACTGATATGCAACATGACCCTTTCCGGTCAGGTCATGACCTTGACCTGAGGTCAAATTTTCAAGTTGACCTTTCAAGGTCAACTTATAGTTCATTTGATGCGTCTTGACGAGAGGAACACAGTGCCGGTAAAAGTAAGCTCGTACAAGGCTTGGGTCAAAAGTTATTGCAGAAAAAAACTGTTTCCGAAAAAATCGGCTATTTTTTGCAATTTTTGCCCCCTGCACAGGGCCTCGGCTAACATGTTAACTGGTGGGCCAAATGGCCCACCAGTGACCCGAAATGGCCCACCAGCCTCAAAGATTTGGCCCACCAGTAATTTTCCGAAAAATTTAAGTTTTCACATTTTTCACATTTCAAATTGAATAGCAGATCTTATCGTACATTTTCAGGCTGTAAAGTACCCATCGGTGAAACATATTCTTGTGAAAAAAACTTCAACCTATTGTTTGCAATATCCTCTTGGGGTAAAAAGTGAACTATAGTGGACTAAGTGGACTAAGCCTCGGTCACACTTCACCGGATTGGACCAATGGACGAGAAACGGACGGCGTCCGGTGATGTCCGGGGGATGTCCGTTCGTTTCCGTTGGACGTCCGTTTCTCATCCGTTCATATCCGTTCCATGTCCGGTGGGGTCCGGTGTGCTCAACCGGACACCACCGGACGTGGAACGTATATTAACGGATGACAAACGGACGGCCAACGGAAACAAACGGACATCACCGGACGCTGACAGTTCTCGTCCGTTTCTCCTCCGTTGGTCCAATCCGGTGAAGTGTGACCGAGCTTTAAATTTTATGCAATAATCGCGAAAGACGTCTGCCTCTGTCAATTACAGATAGTGTCGGAGGCTTCCAGCCGATCGAGGTCTGCAAGAGTTCTTGCAAGCTTTCCGATCGATGGAGTGGTTGCAGTCACATAAGCATCTGCCGCAGACCAGTCGGTTACAAGAAAAACTACGAATACCTAAAGAACAGACCAGTTCAGACGGTCGGGGATAAGCCTGCGAGCGATCTCAGACGGCTCGCCGATAGACACGATATAAGCCAGAGTCAAACTAGAGGTAGTGTCGGCGACTTCCAGCCGATTGAAGTCTGCAAGCGATATTATGCGTCTTCACCACCGGTATGATGCTTGCAGTCACACATCTGACCAGTTGGACGAATTTCGAACCGTTCACAGTCAGCGTTCCAAAAATATCTCATTTGGGCTGAAGATGACACTCAAGAATAAGAAGGATAATTTTCCACTCTCACATTTTGGGTGGCTCGAATTTTCCACTCGGACACCCAAGAAAAATCTGAAGTTTGGGACACTGTTCACCAGAAGTGAACGTGTTGATAACTTAGTTTTTTTTTTTAAAGAAAATATCAGGGTTGCGCAGTGCGCTTGGGCTTTTGAGTCAATTATTTTCCATGCGACACCAATAGGCTTAATGATCATTTTCAGAGATGTTGGGGTTCTGCTACAACCCCCTTTTGGGGTTCCTGCTACAACCCACTTTATATATAAAGTTGCACTCGTGCTGTTCACAATTCCTCCCGATCCACCCAACAACGCCCGATCCCGTCCGACCGCTTCCGAATCTCCGACTAGTCGGCGAGCGATCCACTCACGGCCGTAAGTTATCGTCCAAAGTTTTATAATCTGCGTCAATATTGTGTGCATACTTGTGCCACGGAATATATAGTCTACGACATGTCGATATGTCGATATGTACTACGATATGTCGTAGACTAAATATTCCGTGCTTGTGCGATTTTATGTGCACCGCGGGACTATCACCACTGAGAGGGTTGTGGGTCCCTACTCTCTCTCTCTCTCTCTCTCTCTCTCTCTCTCTCTCTCTCTCTCTCTCTCTCTCTCTCTCTCTCTCTCTCTCTCTCTCTCTCTCTCTCTCTCTCTCTCTCTCTCCTCTCTCTCTCTCTCTCTCTCTCTCTCTCTCTCTCTCTCTCTCTCTCTCTCTCTCTCTCTCTCTCTCTCTCTCTCTCTCTCTCTCTCTCTCCTCTCTCTCTCTCTCTCTCTCTCTCTCTCTCTCTCCTCTCTCTCTCTCTCTCTCTCTCTCTCTCTCTCCTCTCTCTCTCTCTCTCTCTCTCTCTCTCTCTCTCTCTCTCTCTCTCTCTCTCTCTCTCTCTCTCTCTCTCTCTCTCTCTCT